CTTGGATGACCATTGCTAGGGCTCAGTCAAGGCTAAGCCCCTGACCTGTCTGTCTTATAGGGCAGCTCTTTCTGTCCCTCCCCACAGTCAGTGAGCCTGTTCCCCAGCAGTCTCGGGAGACAGACAGAATGTTCTAGTCCATATCAGGGTGTTTGCTTCAGTCCAAGTGTTCTGCGTCCAGCACAGTCGGGGTTAAAGGAGCTCACAGAGGGAACTGGGAGCAAGGCTTAGAGTGATGTTTCCATTTCTGCTAAGAAAGTTGTTGACTTGGTGTGGATTGTGAGCACTCTGTCTGTTGCTCTTGGTAGCAGTATTCTTCTGCATAAACATTTTGTCTCCGTTTCTGCTCTGCTCTGGTCTCCTTCCTCCCGCTTCGGGAGTTCCTCTGCTTCCCTGGGGTCTGTGTGAGGGCCTCTGTTGTTTAGACGTGGGATTTCTAGTGACTTTCCTGATGTTACGTCTCTCACATTTGCTGTGTTGTCATGTCGCTTGTTTCAGAAGTGACGTCTCCCTCCAGCCCCTCCAGTGCACATATTGGTTAACATCTGTCGTCTACGTTTTTCTTTGTGATTCATGGTTCTCATCTATTGTCATCTGAGCAGACAATAGAATTTCAGGGTTTTTAAGGGTATTGTGACTTCATGTCTGGCCCAACAGATGATTTGTCCTGGAGATATCCAAGTGCTGATGAGAAGAATGTGAATTATGCCTCAGTAAAATGCTGTGTAAATGTCTGTAAAATCCATTTACTTTACAATATGACTCAACTAAGATGTTTCCTTGTTGGGGAGCTAGCTGGAGGGACAGCTCAGTGACTAGGAGCACTTTCTGCCTAGGCAGAGAACCTGGGGCCAAGTTCTTAGCACCACATGGCAGTTCATAACCACTGTAACTCCAGTTCCGGGGTGTTCGACACCTTCTTCTAGACTCAAAGGACAGAGGCAAAACTTTCATACACAGAAAATAATGTTTTTAAGATTTTAAAGCTTCCATCATCGCCCATCGACAAAAGTGGAGTAGTGAAGTCCCCAAAAAGTGTTGTAGTCCAGTCTATCCTTCCTTTGTAGCTAGTAGGTTGGGTGCATATGTCTTTAGTTGTGCCTTCTGGCTGAATTTACCCTTTCACTAATATATAAGGAGCTTCTTTGACCATTGGCAGTTTTTCTTTTTTTAATTTGAAGTCTGCTTTGTTCTAATGCTATAGGACTCTTGCTGACTTGTTTCATATTTGTTGTATATCTTTTTCTAATCTTTAATCTTTACTGGTGAAGTGAGATCCCTCTAGGTAGCATATAGTTGGCACTTGTGTTTTTAACCCATTCAGCTATTCCTGCTTTTTGGTTGATGAATTTAACTCATTTATCATCATATTGTTGACAGACGTGAAATTTCTCCTTTTATTATTTATTTATTTATTTATTTATTTATTTATTTATTTATTTATTTATTTATTTATTTATTGGTTTTTCAAGGCAGGGTTTTTCTGTGTAGCTTTGCTCCTTTCCTGGCACTCGCTTTGTAGACCAGGCTGGCCTCGAACTCACAGAGATCCACCTGCCTCTGCCTCCCGAGTGCTGAGATTAAAGGTAGAATATTGGTGGTTTCATGCTGGTAGTTATCACCCTTTTGTTTTTCGTGGATGTATCCTTAAGTATCTCTTGTACAGCTTATCTGGTAATGGTGATTTCCTTCAGTGTCTGCTTTCCTGAGGAACATTTCTGAAGGATAGTTTGGTTGGGTATAATATTCTTAGTGGGCAGGGTTTGTTTCTGTCAGTATTTTGCACATGCCATCCTACCCTCTTCTGACCTATAACAGTTCGGTTGAATGAGCTGCTGTAAGTGTAATGGACTGTCCCTTTAATGGGACTTGATGCTTTTCTCTTGCTGAATTTCAGGTTTCTCCTGGTCATGTACTTTTAGCATTATATTACAAGTTTTGATTGAAAATCTATTTTCTTTAAATGCAGTCAGGGTCCTTTGAGTTTATTATATCTGGGTAACCGTGTCTCTTTGAAGATTTGGGTCCTTTTCAGCTATTATTTAGTGATATGTTTTCATGTTTTTTTTCTATGTTCTTCACTTTGTGAAATTCCCATAAGACAAATACTTGTTCAAATATATGTGTTTTATAAGTTTTGTGGGTTTTCTTCATCTGATTTTTTTTTAGTTGACTAGGTTAATTCTAGAGTTTAGAAATCCCTTCTTCTGTTTATTCTCATGTAAATTCTCTGCTTCATCTTTAATTTCATTAATTTAAGTTTTAGCTTTCCTTTATAATTTCTATACCTTTGGTGAATTTCTCATTCATATTCTAAGTTATTTTTGTGATTTCTTCATAGTATGCATCGGTATTCTCTTTTATCTCAATGAATTTACTAAGGATCATTAATTTTGGATTTTTTAAGGGCTTGTTGTAGCCCTTATTAATTAATATTAAATAAATTATTATTTATTTGAAGTATCATGTTTCCTGTCATGTTATCAGCATTTCTACATTGATGTCTGTACATCTGGTAACATTTGCCTCTAATTTTATGAAGTAACTGTTCTGGGAAATTTTGAGATTTGGTTTTTGTTTTATTTCTTATTTAAATGGGATGTCAGATGCCAGGTGGATGTGTGCTTTGGTGGTTGGATCAGTGCTGAGTTTGGTAATGGAGCTCAAAACATCTGTATCATTTCTTTGTCTTTGATGCCATCCATAGTCTGAACTGTAATTGCTCCTAAAACATTTTGTGAGCGTAGTTGTAAGACATCGAAATAAACTTAGGCTTCCAAAGGTGTGTGTCTTCAGACTCTGCAGTCACACACTGCTAATGGCTTGTGCTGTCCCTTGTCATAGCTGTAATGGTGTGGAATATGTACCCGGGAGGAATCACAGGAGACTAAATGTTTGTGTATTCAGAGTCCCCAAGTCACAGTGTTGAGGGACTCTCAGCGTGAGTGTGGGACGGCACAGCTAGTAGCACCGTTAGACACCCTCACAGAGCCCTGGACCGTCTCCTGGCCCCGAAGGATGTGCATAGTACCATCAGGGGTTTTGTCACCAACTATGATCCCAAGGCAATGGGCTGTGGAAGAAATCACTCCTAGGTCTCCCAAGGCCTATGCAGGTAACATTTGGACTTATGACACATGTGTCCACACATCTGGAGGCATAAGACATGGAGGAGACCTTCACTAGGCCCCATGGGCTGAGCACAGTAGTCTGATATGTGACTTTGGTATCTAGCCTCCTAGAGCACAAGACAGGCTTGTCCTCAGGTTACATGGAAAAAGCTCAGCTGGGACAAGATCTGAAGCATTGACAACCACAGCTCTCTGTCTGCAAGACATGGATGTGACCTGCCCATGGTAGCCAGGGACAGGCTGTGGGCTGGGAGAGCAAGCTACCCTAGTTTCACCTGCGTGTACACAGAGGTGCTAGAGGTTGGGTGCTGGCAGCTGCATTCCTGGACTGTGCAATGCGATAGAACCTTCCTAGATCATGGACAGGTGGGGACAGAGCCTGGAGTTTACCACAGCCTCAGTCCCAGTGCTGTAGGTTGGAAAGAAGACCCTTTACTAGGTGCCGTTAGGCAAGCAAGCAAGGCCTCAGACCTGTGACTGTCACAGACGATGGTCCTGAAGCTATGGGACATTGAAAGGACTGTCTTCCCCCAATCTCCCAAGTCCTCTTACGGCGTCAGAGGCTTGGCTCTTGGCCCCTAAGGCACATTGGCATCTAGCAGTATGCTGCTGCGGCAGTTTGCGTTGGGGATGGCGGTAGGTAGGGAGTTCCCTCTTTAGGTCAGAGCGGGTCTTGGCGAGGCTGCTGTTCAGGAGCCGCTGGCATTTCCCACTTCCCTGTTCTCACCCCTGCTCTGGAGGGCTTGAAGGTGCACCTTGCTTTCTTTTCTCTGGGCTCCTTGCCGACTCTCGTCCTGGCTCTTTTGAGGCACAGCTGTACACAAGGACTTCTATTCAGCCATCTTGGCTGCCTGCCTCTGATAAGTTCCTGCAGGGGGACTGCTGATAGTGAAGGTGTTGGGCTAAAGATGCACAGACCCCAGGCTAGCCCCAGAGTTGTTGGCTTCAGAGGGGCAAGAGATCCTGATAGGAGGTTTTTGTCATTTGTCCACTTCTCTAAAAACACATTGTCAGTAAGTTGAATGTATGAGTGTGACTGTTTCCAGTTCAATGATGTGTTGCATGCCAGTGAGGGGCTCTCCTTCTCAGCCCTGACTCTTAGCTCTGCTCCTCTTCAGCACAAAGTAAGATTCCAGAAGTCATGGGAGGTCACTGTGGGCCTGGTCTTCCCATTTCAAAATGCAGGCTCCTTAGCAGGAGGTGAGAGGAGCAGTATTGCTTTCCTTGCCTGGAATACCTTGTGGTGTTGTTGCAACTAGTGTCTGGTTTTGAAAGTGACGATTTATCCCACCATGAGCATCCGTATGCCTGCCTCCATGTGCATCTACAGAGAGGAGCTGCTAAAAGACTCGAGTTGTCCATACTGCCAGTAATGGGCAGTGTGCCTTTAGATGGCCAAACTGGAGAGGAGGAAAGGCCGCCGTTGGTGTCTGTTCCCACAGCCTTCCCCTCCAGACTATAAATCAGGCCTGGGAAGACAGTAGTGAGTCAGTAATTTATAGACTATTAAGATGCTTAGTTAGAACTGACTATGGAGCATGTGGAATAGAGAACACATGTTTCCAAAAGACAAACAGACCCAGCACATCTCTTCCTTGGCTGAACCAACAGCAATCCATTAACAGGACAAAATGGGATGCCTTATTTTGCATATCACCCACTTCCCCAAAATAGACTCCCTAACCACTTGTTAACCACACTGACTTTAATAGACAGAACGGTCGCTTGAGCTTTGCCACCAGAACTATTCATATTAAGCACCCTATTAGCTTGTAGCCAGCAGTCTACAAAACAGGAAGAAAGCCTCTGCTTCCTCCCCTTGTTTGACTTGATGTGATAATTCATTGCAGATTTCTTTGTCTTTGACAGAGTGCCTACCGAAGGAGTGGGATGGCTTTCCTGGCCTGCTGAGGGGACCATGGCTGTGCCTGCCGCGACAAGAGAGGGAACGGTACCCCGAGGTCATTCTTCCCTGTCCTGGCTGAAAATAAAATATGAATTTACCTTCTCCTGCCCTGGGGAGTGACCCACTTTGTTTTCCATTCTCAGCTGCCTGACTGCAGCTCTTCCCAGCCTCCTTAGCCTCGTTTACTGAATGGGCCATTTGCCTAATTAATGGCAGGATGTCGGGGATGGTGTGTAGGTGGACAAGAATGCACATCACACAATTTTGAATTTTGAATTGGGCATGGGTTTGCTGCCCTCAGCTCATAAATCTTAAAAGCAGTGTTATGCTTTTTTCCCTCCAGTGTTTAGTCTGCCTTTTATATGATGCCTTTTTATGATTCAGATTGGGACAAAGAGACAAAGTGAGTCAGTCTTCCCTTCCCAGTGACCCACCAACTGTGCTTTGCAGCATTGTTGATGGTCTCGGTGTGTGCTTTAGAGACGTGGTCAGTCTATGAACACACACCCATCAGAGATTGACCTGGCAGGACAAGCCACCGGTCCCCCTTCTCCCATCACCCACTCGCTATCGGGGTCACTTCATGCCTTCTTCCTGCTGTTTCCCAGAGCTTGCCTCATCCATCTTCACTTCCCACTTTTCCAGGTGTACCTCCCCTAAGCCACCACACACACACACACACACACACACACACACACACACACACACACACCACGTGCACACAGATACATGCACACTACACACATACATACACACACACCACATGCACACAGATACATGCACACTACACATATACATACACACACACCACGTGCACACAGATACATGCACACTACACACATACATACACACACACCACATGCACACAGATACATGCACACTACACACATACATACACACACACCACGTGCACACAGATACATGCACACTACACACATACATACACACACACCACACGCACACAGGCACACTCGCACACACATGCATAACACACACACGCACACACACACACCCCTTCCATACCCTTTCAGAAGGAAAGTCACAAAGGAAGAGCACAAGGACCCTAAGCTTCACCCACTCCTCCCCAGCTCTCCCCTGGTCTGGAATGGGCTGATACACTGCCGACTGGGAGCAGCCGACCGCCCTGCTGGCCTGGTACTGTCTCCAGTAAATGAGGAAGTGTAACCCCGGGAACAGCCCAGCGTGTAGCAGATGCAGGGGTGCGGCTCCTGGTGGAATATGAATTGCAGAGGCGGAGGTTATGTCTTTAATTCTGTGAGAGCTGCGGGTGAGAGAGAAGAGCAGACGTTTCTGTGTGAACAGACCCTGCAGAGTCTCCGCGTGCTCGTACCCGTGCTGTTGGGCACTGCCGTTACCTGATGTGCGGTAATCATTCTCGGGGGAAATGTGCACGTCAGGAAAAATGCAGATATTTAATATCAAAAATCGCCAAAGGGTTTTGATGTTCTACCCATGCCTGTTGAGAAGTCTGATTAAACTCTTCTTTTTATCATCATCCTTATTTTCCTTGCCGTCCTTAATCATGGAAAATTATCGCCCTGCAGTCAACATCCTTACTTTGGGAATGGCAGCACTTACTGCATTTGGTTTCCATCTGCCAGGCTCGTAGAAGGTCTGAAATTTTCAGGGGCTAATTTTTGCTATTGGAAACCCGTCTCTGTCCCACATTATATATTTGAAAGTAGCACAAGCCAGAAAATGCAGGGTTTTGTTTTTGCTCTTCGTCTTACTCTACCTAATCTCCTTGTAGTCCCAGGGAAGGAAGACTCAGCGTACATTTCTCTCAGAACACGACAGCTCTGTGTTTTTGTTGGTCTGCTGTATGTTTGTCTATCTTGAACCGTCTGACAGGTAATTATTTATAAAATCTGGTTTTGCCCAGCGAGTTCACATAATACCTTTCACTTTTCATCATAAGCCAGAGAGCTGAATTTAGAATAAAACAAGGTCGTTTGTGTCTGTCCTGAGCCAGCCTAGATGTGCCCATAATTGCTCAATATTAATAGTTTAATTCTTTTTCTTTCCTACACTTAAGTTCTTTTCCTTACCCTTAAAACAAAACTAAATTTGAAGTAAAACAAAATTTTATGAATAGTGTATAGATAAAAACCAGAAGGAAATCTCAGAAATAACACTTTAGTAAACTGTCCCATAAGATTAAAGTGCCACATACTATCATAGTTAGAGAGACAACTATGAGGGTCATTGAGAATCGTCACACACTTGACAGAGGAAAAAGAGCCTGGCCAAGATGGGGAAATGACCATCCTGGATCACTCAGCAATGGCCGGAAGAGACCATGCCTGATAACCTATGGCCCCATTCTTAGCCCACCACCCTGTATTTACATGAGAATATTAAAGACACACCAGCCTTCTCATATTTATCCCACACAATAAAGTAAACTTATTTCTTAATGATGCTAATTATAGATACACCCTAGAACATAAATGTGAAGTCATAATAATGAAATCTGAAGTAGACTATGCTAGCAAATGAACTGTCTATACATGGGTCTCAACTCTGAATCATGCATGAATACACAGTTTCTGGGTGAGTTTTCATTGTTGTTGGTATTGCCTTGTATTTTAGAGGTCAAACTTGAAAGTAAATAAACCCACAAATAGTAAAGGACTTTTCTTCTGGAAAATTGATGCTGCCCTCTAGACTAAGGGTAAAGGAAACAAAAATACTTCTCCTGCCCCCTAAATTCAGAAGTGTGACTTTCTGGAAGTGCCTTTTCGAGGTCACATCACTGACCTTTTCTGACCTCACACATGATAATAGTTGAGATTCAAAAATAATGTTCCAATTTTAGGGGCCAAGGTTTTTATTTAAAAAAAATCATCAGAAGTACAAATATTTTCAAGCTGTCTATATAGTTCCTGTGTTACTGTCTGTTCTTTGTTTTTAAAAAATAATAAACAACCCACATTCAATGTTTTCCCACATAGAAGATAAGTAAACATAACTGGTGATCTGTGGCCTGGAAGAAAATAAGTTTATTTTTCTAGAAATTGTAAAGTTCAGATTTATGAATTTTTTTCAGTATAACTCCTAAATGAGGCTCGTATAACCCTTGTGTGAAGTAAATCAATCACTACAGAGAATGTGTGCTCTCATCTCCTCCTGGACTGCAGATAGAGCCTTCCCAGGTTGCATTTAAGTTCTCCCATCAACCATGTATACATCTCATAAAACCTTTTATGGTTTCCTGTATGCTCTGGCTGAGCATTTCATAGTACATAAACACTTCTACAAATAGTGTTTTGTTCCAGATGTTCTGTTGCATCTGGAACCCCAGCTGAGTCTTCTCTGCTGTTGCCTAGTGGCAAGGGGCTGTCGCCATGCAGTTGTGTTCATTAAAGGAGAGGCGCTCGCTCTACAAGGGCAGCCAGCCCAGCTTCAGCAACAGCACCATGCTGTGGGAGTTGGATGTAAATAGGATGTTAAATAAGGGCCAGATGCCCTGGGAAGCTCAAATATCAAAAGTCCTATCTCTTAAAGTGAGTCTCAAGTGTTGTGAGCAGGAGAGTGGTACCGTGGGCAGTGGGGGGCTGGGTTGGTTTTAAGTATGAAACAAAATATCAAGCATTCAGATTGTCCTAAGTCATGGAAATTTTGGCAATTGAAGCGTAACGTAGAATGGTCAGTTCTTACAAGGGGACAAGGACACTGCGTATAAAGCTGCTGCGATTCTGTAGAGAGCCTTGGGTTCGTGTCCCTTTTCTGCTTGTAACCACCCAGCTGTCACTGTTCTCACTGTTTCCCACTGAGAAGTAAACATAGAAACAGATACAGGGAAAGGAGTGAGTGGGAGGACCGAAGCGCAGTTGGACGCATCTACTTGCTATCAGAAGCTGCAGTGTGTGGGCCTGGAAAGAGCGTTTCCGGTTTATCAGAAGGTTTACCATCCTGAGGGGTGGTTCTCAGGTGTCTGTAAGTCCATCTGCAAGGGATCCAATGCCTTCTGGCCTCCATGGACACCCAAACACACACGTGTATACACTCATGCTGATGCACACATACCAATATGCTCATGCAGACACACATACACATAGGTAATAAAAACATTAAAATTTGAAAATGTTATGTCAGCAGATTCATCAGTGGCATAATAATCAGAGCAAGCTGCTGTGTGTGATGCCTCATGGGTCACCTTGAAGGCTCACCATGCTTTCTGAGGTGCACACAGTGTGGCCCAGAGGCAGGAAAGGGAACTTGGCAAGTTAAGTGCTCTGTGCCGTTATCCAGAATGGAACTGACATCAATACCCAGCACTTTGACCCCACTGTTCAGCAGCATGGAATATACTAGAAACTTCTGGGAGCACAGTGAAGAGAAAAGCCTTTCTCATATCGAAAAACTTGATTACAAGAAAATTGCATTGTAGCTTAAAACAGTCCTTATCTATACATTGTGTAAGTAATATAAAACAAGATATGTAATAGAATGTAACAGTATAGCCTGCCAATTCCTCTTTAACGTTTTAAACCTTAAATATGTATAGAGAGTGTAATACATTTAGAGTCCGGCAGGAGACGGCATGGTTGCTGAGGAGTGGGCTCCGTGGGTAAGCGCTTGCTGGGTCGAGCAAGAGACCTGAGTTCAGGTCCCCAACACCCTCAGAAAAAAGCAGATGTGGCTAGGCGTATCCGTCACTCCAGTAACTGGGGTGAAGGATGGAGACAGGAAGAACGCTGAGGTTTGCTGACTGCCAGCCAAGCCAAAAAGCAAGTTCAGGCAGAGACCTTGTCTTAAGGCAGAGAATGAGAAAGCAGGATGCCTGGGGCCATCCTCTGACCTCCACACAGGCACACATATCTGCACACAGACATGTACATACATAAACACACCACAGCTGCAGAGGATCCTTTTATAAACTGACAAAGAACACCTCAGAAACCATGCATATACTACTTCTCCTTTCTAATTCTGGCTGTATAGAGTACTTCCAAGGGCTACTATTGTATGCATTCACACACGTTATCTATCCGTGCTCCAGAATAAGCCCAATCTTGTTCACAGGTGTTTGCTAGTGTTCAGAACATTCATGAAATGGTCTTTTGAAGTGTTTGCTC